TATATAGAGAAGGTGGTCCTCCCTGATGAGAAGGTGGTCCTCCCTGATGGAGAAGGTGGTCCTCCCTGATGAGAAGGTGGTCCTCCCTGATGGAGAAGGTGGTCCTCCATATACAGAGAAGGTGGGTCCTCGCTGGGTGGACAAGGTCAACCTCTATCCCCTTTATGTAGGACAGTGGTGACCCCAGCCCTCTGGGCTCCTCACAGGGTCTCAGAGAGGCTTGTGTGAGCTGTGCTGACTGTCAGGTGGCCCAGCAGGGAGCTGGCAGGGGGAGCCAGCGATGGTGGGCAGGGGCTGGTGCTGAAGCAGATGGTGGTGGACAGGACAGTCGGCCCAGGTGGCTTCACTGCCAGCTTCGCTATTGCTGGCTGAGGTCATCACAGTGCCCCTAGCTTAGGTCAGGGACCAGGACAGTTCAGAGTCAGGGGAAGAGACGCAGGTGAAAATAAGCTGGGAACCGCTCCACCAGGGCTGCAGAGCCGGAGATGCACAAGGTAGAATATCAGACCGCCCTGAAGTGGACAGACACAAGGCCCGTGACYGTCTGCTGGTCAGCCCTCTCCTCAGCACAGGTGCAATGGGGGCAGCTGCCACCGCCTCAGCTGGACTTCAGCCCTTGGCCCCGGGGTCCTCTGCCATCGTAGCTTCCCCGCAGGGCAAAAGGGCATGGTGACGGGGAGGGGGCCTTGACACAGCACACTGTGGGAAGAACGGGGTGCCCAGGTGAGAGCGACAGCCCAGCTAGCCACGTCGAACCCAGGCAGGACAGACCCAGAGCCCGGGGGGACAGAGTGCCGGGTTCCTGCCGGCCCCACGCCCCACAGTGTTTACCTGGAGCAGACGCTGTTCCCAGGGAGGACGTGGGTTTACAGCCTGAGCCAGGGAGGAGCAGCAAGGACGGCAYGGGCTTCTGAGGTGACTGCTCCACTCGGTGTGTCCACCACTGACTCATCAGGAARCAGATGCCGGGGAAGAGCTGCTGGAGGAGGACAGCAGGGGGAGAGCAGGGAGGATGCCCTGTGCTGTCCACCTGGCTGGGCCGTGGGGCCTGGTCGGGCAGATGTTAGTCCTGAGGATGCTGCAAAGGTCTTCAGATGTGAGCAGGTGGCCACCTGAACAAGGTGGCACTGCCCACTCCAGCCAAGACTCTGAGGGACACGGCATTCTGCCCATCCCAGCGAACCCCACCCAAGTGCTCCATGTCACCTGCATGTGGGAGCATCACAGTGATCCCCACCATGTGCTCTATGTTAGGTACATGTGGGA